AAGGGACTTTCTGAGGTCACAGACCAGAGCGGGCAGCACGGTCCCAAGAGCCCGGAAGGAAGGGTGCCGTTCTAGGCCCACAGCCGAGGCTTCTTGCCGGAGCCTCCAGGGTCGACCTCTCACTGGGAGGCAGCCACCCTGCCGCAGCCTGGATCCTGGGAGGAAAGCGCAGGGGTGGACAATGCCCGGTCGCTTTGGGTCGCAGTGGGCCGCCAGGAGGACAGAGCCACTGCCAGGGCCCAGGAAGGCCGGGGGAGGAGCCGGAGGGCCCGGGAGAATGAGTGCTTTCAGAGCTGGGAAGGAAGGGGAAAAAACTTCCGTCTGCCGTCTGATGAGAGGCTAGGACAGGGGCCAGGGCTGAGGCTGGGATCCCTCTCTGCCACTGCCCCTCAGCCAGGCCTGACGGGGGAGCCAGGGAAAGAGGCGTGAGGGTCAAAGACCACGGGGACGCTGGGGCAGGGTTGGCGAAGAACCCAGTTGGGTGTGGGGAGATGAGCCAGCCACAGAGGACCCCAACCTGGGGTCACAGGGCAGCAACCCTGGGCGACAGGCACTGGCCTGCAGGCAGCGGGGGCCTCGGACACCAGCGCAGGACGGGCCCAGCTCGCGGAGGTGACCTCCGGGGGTCAGCAGGCTGTGAAATGCCAGTCAATCATTGACAGCCACCGCTGCGACGGTGGGCACGGAAGGCCGTGAGTGTGTGTGCCTGGGTTGGCACCAGAGTCTCCTGCCCTCTGCCTATCACAGCCAACCTGGAGTCAGAACAAGGAGGAGGCCAGGGATTTAGCTCAGGGGTACCTCAGATGCCTCAATCTGCCAAGTTCCTGAGTTCGATCCTTGGTACTGAAAAAAAAAATTAAAAGGGAGGAGATAGAGACAGCCTGGACCAGGCAGATCCGGCCACCAGCAGGGGCCTACTCGGTGGGCCTCGAGGATGGGCGCGACATGCTGGGAACAGGGGACCCTTGTGTGTGGATTGGTGACTTGGAAGGAGCCCCAGCACGGGCACAGGGTCTCCGGGCCGAGGGTGTGATTTAGAAGCAAGGTGGGCCCTCCTGCACTGGACGCAGCGGCGCACACCTGTGATCCCAGCTACTTGGGAGGCTGAGCCAGGAGGATGGCAAGTTACAGAACAGCCTGGCTAGCTTAGCAAGACCCTATCTGAAAACCCAAAGGGCTGAGGGTTGACCTCAGTGGAAGAGGGCTCCCCCAGTGTGTTCGAGGCCTGAGTTCAAACACTGCCCCCGCAAAGCGGCCCTTTCTAAAGGTGGTCTGGTGTGAACGCAGGTGGACTGAACCCCGAAGGCACAGGATTAGCGGATTAGCAGCAGGCTTGAGGACGAAGAGGGACAGAGCTCGATGGCCTGGCCGGAGGCACTGCCTCTGGGCCTGCCACACCTCCCACGGCCCCTTCTCACCCACAGTCAGGAATGCGCCCAGGCCCTGGAGCTGGCCTTTGGCCCCAGGGGACTCATCTGTCCTTCCCATCTTGCTACCTTTCTTGTGCTGCAGCGGATGCTCGGCTTCCCCAGTGGCCTGGGTCTCTGGCCGCTCTGCATGAGCCCTTGGGTCTTCTGAGGTCCTTCGTCAGATCATAGCTGCGTTCCTGGCCTTGAACAAGGCTTTACTCTTCCGTCTGCGATATGAGAGAACCGGACACAATGATTCCTTGTTCCTTCTTTTTATTTTATTTCTTTACTTTTGTTTTTTTGAGACAGGTTCTCGCCGTGTGTCCCAGGCCAGCCTCGAGCCTGTGGTGATCCGAGTGCGGGAGTTACAGGCCACATCGCTCTGCCTGGCTTGGCTTTTGGTTTCAGAGAAGCCCAGGAAGCTTCCAGAAGCACACAGCGGTAGCAGTCGTGGCCTGAGGGGACAAGGCCAGTTTCAGACAGTTACCCTGGCTGAACCCCCTGCTTGGTTCTTTGCTTCCTTCTAATTGGCTCCTTCTTTGAGCCAGCAACTCTTTTTCCAGTGCCCATCACTGTTGTTGTTTTTTTGTTTGTTTTGTTTTTTGAGACAGAGTCTCACTAGGCAGTTGAGACTGACCTGGAACTCGCTATGCAGCCCAGGCTGGTCTCGAACTCACAGCGATCCTCCTGCCTCAGCCTCCCGAGTTCTGGGATCATAGGTGTGCGCCACCACGCCCGGCTTGCCCTGTCATTGTTCTACCCCCACAGCACCTCGTGTTGGCCTCTGTCATTTCTCCTCCAGGCCTGGCGCTTGACTCCTGGGATCCTTTCCCTTTCCCACAGCAGGCAAATGAAAGGTTGTCAGCACGACTGAAACCCCCACTGCCTACAGCTCTCCCAGACCCACACCCCAAGGCTGCTGTCTCACCTCATTCTTTTCTGATTTCCAAAGAGGACCATGGTGTTCCCACCCCAGGGCCTTTGCACCAGTCCTTGGGCCTAGGACTCTGCCCCCCCGGGGGGTGCTGCTATCTCTGGTCCTGCAGGTTTGGTGGGTAGAGCACCACCTGGCTCAAAATAGGCTTCTCAACCCCCACTGTCCCCACTGTGGCCAGGACATCATCCAATCCTGTTTCCCTTGACTTTGTCCACACAGGAAGTTGTTCTTTTTACATTTTGCCTTCGTTTTAAAATTGAAGATGTATGCACATAGTACAAGGCCTTTCTTTCTCTTTTCTCATTTCTTTCCTCCCTCCCTTCCTCTTTTCTTTCTGCCTTCCTCCCTGCCTCCCTCCCTCCCTCTCTTTCTTTCTTTCTTGCCAGGGATCAAACCCAGGATCTCACCCACACTAGGAAATCGCTCCTCCACTGAGCTACATTTCCAGGTCTTTTTAAATTTCATTTTGAGCTGGGGATTTGGCTCAGTGGTTCCACTGCCTGCCTCGAAAGTACAAGAACCCGAGTTCAATCCCTGGTACCAAAAAAAAAAAAAAAAAAAAAAAAAAAATTTCATTTTGAGACCAGGTCTTCCTAAAATGCCCAGGCTGTCTTTGAACTTATGATGTTTCTGCCTCTGCCTCCCTCGAAACTAGGATTACAGGTGTGCGCCACCATACTCAGTTTACACCTTGCTTTTTATACTTTACAAAGATATTGTGAAGATTTTTCTGGCACATTACCAATCTGTTGCATGCCTATTAATTTCTCTTTGGCATTCCATTTTGTGGCTCTGCTTCAATTAATGTAACTCATTCCTTATTGCTGACCATTTAGTCCTCTCTCTCTCTCTTTCTCTCTTTCTTTTTTGAGACAGAGTCTGGCTGTGTAGCCCAGGCTGGCCTTGAACTTGCAGTGATCCTCCTGCCTCAGCCTCCCGAGTGCTGGGACTGTAGGTGTGCAGTGCCACCCCAGGCTACCTTTTGTTTCTGTTCAAAATGATAACTAATGCTGTCATGAATAATTGTACATCTCCAAATTTTGCACTTGTGTAGACAAACCTAGGAGGGAGACTGCTGGAGAGAGGCTCGGGTACATTTTTCACTCTGAGAGCACCAAGTTATCCTGCGCGGTGGTTGGAGAATGTGTTCTTACCTCAGCAGCAAAATTATTTTAGTCATTTGTTTGCAGTTTGTTGGCTTATATCCTTCCTTTGGTCGTGAGACAGGCACCCCGTCCCCCAGAGCATGGCACATTGTAAACTTTAATAAATATTTGGTGAATACGGGACCCTTACTGTAGACCGTCCCCCCCGCTGTTTGCTTTAAGAATATGGTCAGTTTGTCATGAAGCTCTTACCTCTGCACAAGTTGCTTTTTCTTTTTCTTTTTCGGTACCGGGAATCAAACTCACAACCTTGTACTTGCAAAGCAGGCACCAGTGCTACTGAGTTACATCCCTGGCCCTGTCTTTCTTGTCCCTGTACTGGGAACCAATAGGCCAGGCTGACCTCTAACTTGTTGTATCCTTCTGCCTCAGCCTCCCATGTGCTGGGATTACTTCTGCCCCAGTTGGAAAAATAAAGGATGACTGTGAAGCCTGTGGCTCCCACCGGACACTAAAGACAATTTCGGACATGGATTAAACCAATGGGACTCCATGGGGAAACCGGACTCCAGGCTAACAAATTGCAAAAGATAGAGGCCAGGTAACTGTAGAAAGGAAAATTTCAAGACCGGTCCCAGAAAGACACCATTCTCTTAAAAGGCAAGATTACGTTATGGATCTCATTGGCTTGTGTTCGTGACCCCCAACGGGGACAGTCTCCGTTCAGTAAGACGGAGACAGGAAGATCCCTGTGAGTTTGAAGCCGGCCTGGACACATAGTGAGACCTTGTCTAAAAAAAAAATTTTTTTCAGGGCCAGGGATTTAGCTCAGTGACACCACACCTGCCTCCAAATGCAAGGTCCTGAGTTTGATCCCTAGTACAAAAAAATGATTCCAAAATTAGTAAGGATGAAATGAAAAAGTATTATAAAGGACCTATCTGCAGATACAGAGTAGTGCTAGCACTGCGTGGTTTGGCTCCTGGAGGGCTGTTTACTTTTATTCATTTCAACTTCCCAGTCAGTCAGCTGGGGGCTTGACTCCCAGCCCATGCTGCATGTCACCTTTAACTGCAGAAGCACCATTCACAGAAAATGGGACACAAGTTGTGTGTCCAGGAGCTGGCACTTGCTGCGCCTCGGGCTCAGGAAAAGCCTGCGTGGTGAGTGAATGAACGGGACCCAAGGCTGCTTCTCCCTCCATCCCACCCCTCTCCTCCAGCATAAAAAGGAAATTCTGACGGGTGTGTGTGTGTGACAGTGTGGGAGGAGGGGAGGCATCACTATCCACGTGGCTTTAAGGCTTCCAGAAGATGTGGGTGTGGGGTGCTGGTGGTCACGCAGGGAGGTACAAGGCTGAAGCAAGCATCCCAAGGGTCCTTCTCAATGTTTCCTTGAAATACTACCAGTGCCTCTCTTCTCTGCCAGGATCCCTACTGTGGTTTGACAGTCCCAGAGGGCACCCGACAAGTTTTATGTGAAATATAACCATTCATTTATTTAAAATAAGCCAGGCATGGTGGTGTACACCTGTAATCCCAGTACTTGGGAAGCTGAGGCAGGAGGATTTTGAGTTCCAGGCAAGTTTGGGCTCCATAGCAAGTTCTAGGCCTGAGTTACATAGTGAGAATCTGTCGCACCCCTGAGGCTGTCTCGCGTCACCTCCCTGGGCAGAGGGAGCAGCATCTGCACTGGTGCAGAACAGGCAAGAAGAGACAAAGGGACAGATTCTGGAGGCCGAGGGACTCCTCTGATGGTGGACACAGCAAGAGAGCGGAGCCGGGTGGGCAGCGCAGATCGCTGGGGGCCTGTGGGGTCTGTGGGGCCTGTATTTTATCCTGAGTAGCCCGGGCCTAACGAGGTTTTTTAGGATTAGCGACTGGAGCAGGGTTTGAGGGAGCAAAGCGCAGGCGTGGAAGCCGGAGGGGAGGGCGGTGCCAGGGACTGGGACCCAACCGGGCTGGTGCCAGATATAGCATAGTCTCTTGCAAATTAGGCCAACTTTTTTTTGGAGGGGGTACCAGGGAATCGAACTCGAGACCTTATGCTAGCGTGGCAGACGGCAGAACCACTGAGTCAAATACCCATCCCCAAATTAGGCCAATTTTAATGGCCCTAAAGCCATTAAATTGCACTCTAAATCTGCATTTGCCAGATTTCTGAATGATTTGACCTAAACTTTTGGGTCTCGCAACTTCTTTTCACTAAATATTAAAGGTTCTTCTTCGGTTTAAATATATATACATATATACACACACACACACACATATATAAACATACACACACATATATAAACATACACACACCTTGGAGAATTTAAAAAATCGCTCTTTTTTGTTACTGATCTCACCAGGCATCCCCTTTTCCTTAAACCTGTTGCCTCATTTTGGGGAAACGGTAGTGGGGCGAGGGACAAAAACCCAGGAACTTATTTGAAAGTGGTGTACGTCAGCGGAGGGTGCACACATGAGCACAGGTACTTCCGGTTACTCCGGAAGTGGAGGCTACGCTCCTAAACTCCGCCCTCCGCGGCCAGGCAGAGTGACAGAATGGCGGAGCGCGCGGTGCGGCTGGTGCTGCTGGCCGGGGCAGTCGCGATGGCGAGCGCCTCCCAAGGGGACCGCGAGCCGGTGTACCGCGACTGTGTGCTGCGGTGCGAGGAGCGGAACTGCTCGGGGGGCGCATTGAACCACTTCCGCTCCCACCAGCCAATCTACATGAGTCTAGCAGGTAGGCCCCACCCCTTTGCAAGCCCCGCCCACTGGCCGTGGCCCCGCCCGTCACCCTCCTACTTTGCAATCTCTGAGCCTTGGGTTTCCCACCGGATTTCTTGTGCGAGTGAGAGAATTCTCCAGGATAATGGGGTCCCATCACCCCAGACATTTTTACTTTTTATTAAGTCAAAGCAGTATTTATTAGCCGGGTGTGGTGGCTCACGCCTGTAATCCTAGCACAGGGGAGGCTGAGGCAGGAGGATCACTGTGAGTTCGAGACCAGCCTGGGCTACAACATAGTGAGTTCCAGGTCAGTCTCAACTAAATAGTGAGACCCTGTCTCTAAATAAATAAATAAAATAAAGCAGTGTTTATTAAATGCTTCATGCCAAGCTGGGCGTGGTGGCCCAAGCCTGTCATTCCAGCGCTTGGGGAGGCTGAGGCAGCAGGATTGCTACAAGTTTGAGGCCAGCCTGAGCCACATAGTGAGTTCAAGGCCAGCCTGAGCTATATAGTGAGATCCTGTCTCAAAACAGACAAGTGCAGAATGATTTGAATCCTAAAACAGGCTTAGGTGAAGGACTAGACGCACTGAGAAAAGGAAGAAATTGATTCTGGCTTTGACGGGGAGGGGGCACGGGCACTTCGTGGAGGTGGCGCTCCCAGATGGGCGGATTGAACTTGGACTCCTGACCGTAGTGGGCGAGGAGCCGACACACCGAGCACCCGCTGTGTGACAGGTGCCACCTTTTGAAGTAGCTTCTCCAACCCCGGTTTCCCTGCTGGGACTCAGGTTAGGTCCCATCCCTCAGGCCTGAGGGATTCTGTTCGGCCACACGCTGTCCTTTCCCACCCATTTCCGGTCCAGACTTAGGATCCAAATGAGCAGTGGCCAGAAAGCTGGAGAGGCAGCTTGGAACCAACCACACGGCTGTCATCCCAGCACTCAGGAGGCTGAGGCAGGAGGACTCTGAGTGTGAGGCAGTCTGAACTCCACAACAAGACGCTGCCTCACACAACCAAATAGGAAAGAATCAAAATGATTTCGGTGGGAGGGGACTAAGACAGCCGGAGCTCCTCTGGTGGGTGACCGAGTCCAGGACAAGCGTCGCTCTCGGGCCATCCTCTCTACCCCCGCTGACCCCACCGCCCTGTGCCGTGGAGCCCACGGCCCCATGCGTGTCTCTGGCAGGCTGGACTTGCCGGGACGACTGCAAGTACGACTGCATGTGGGTCACCGTGGGCCTGTACCTCCAGGAGGGCCACCGGGTGCCGCAGTTCCACGGCAAGGTGAGTGGCGGGGTCGTGGGAGTGAGACGCCTGCGGTCCGCCCGAAGTCGGTGTGGGGTGCCAGGGTGTGGGGTGCAGGCCGGCCCTTGGCGTGGCTGCTTTCTTTTCTTGCTCTGAGGCAGGGCCCGGCCATCTGGCTCAGCCTGGCCTTGAACCCACTGTCGCCCAGGCTGGCTTTGGCGTCCCGGCGATCCCCAGAATGTCTCAGAGTGGAAAACTGGAAGGGGCGAGGACGCAGCTCCGTGACCGGGCCGGCTGGGGTGGCTGCGCTCAGGTCCCCTCTGTCTCTCCCCTTCCAGTGGCCTTTCTTCCGGTTCCTGTTCTTCCAAGAGCCCGCTTCTGCCGTGGCCTCCTTCCTCAATGGCCTGGCCAGCCTGGTGATGCTCTGCCACTACCGCACCTCTGTGCCCGCCGCCTCCCCCATGTACCACACGTGTGTGGCCTTCGCCTGGGTAGGTGACCGGGCACCTCTGACCCCCCGGGGGCACCTCAGCACTTCCGGGCAGCAGAGTCGGGAAGGGGGGGATAGAGAGCGCACGAGCCGGAAAGACCCAGCGGGCAGCTGCAGGTGGGAGGTGGCAGGGAGGGCGTGGGGCCGCTCAGGTCCAGCGCAGGCAGCCCCAGCACCACGTGGCCTGCCCATCCGTGCAAAAAGGGCTCATAGCCTCGTGCTTTGGGGGTCCAGGGCCTGGAATTGGAGGAGACATGGTGCAGACGGGACTCTGCTGCCTGGGCGAGGGGACAGCGGGTGCCCTGGATGTTTCTAGATCAGAGCCTCCCCGGTAGATGCCCCTGCACTGTCCAGGTCCCCACCCCTCTTAGCAGGAACAGTGTAGCCACACTGCAGGTCCGAGGGGCCCTTGGAAAGGCCTAGCCTTTGCCTACGTGACCGTGCAAAGGCCAGCGGTCACAGCAGCATACTAGTCTTGAACTCGCAATCCTCCTGCCTCAGCCTCCCGAATGCAAGGATTACAGGTGTGCACTGGGCTCCCCTCGATCTCCCTGCCTCTTAGACCCTTCATCTCAGGGGTGTCTGCAGCGCCCCCCAGCCCTGCATGACCCTGTTTGGCTTTTACACCTGAACCTGAGCCGTGTGTTTTCCCAGGAGGGAGCCCCAGCTGTGAGAAGGTGCGGTGGGGACTTTGTCCTGGAGGCAGGGCCCTCCGACCTCTCCCTCTGCCAGGCCCAGAGGCTGAAGCAGTCAGAAACCCTTCACGTGGGAGGGAGGGGAAGGTCCTGGGCCGAGGTGTGAGGAGGAAGTGGCAGGGAAGCCCGTACTGCTCTGTGCCGTGATTGGTGGGGCTGGGGACGCTGGTAGACCCAGGGAAGACTTCCGATGGTCAGGGAACCCAGGAGCCCTTCCTTCGACGAGGAAACCCCCTTCCCCCGGCGTGAGCAGGCTGGGCGGGCGCCTGCCTGAGGCTGCAGCAGCAACACCGACACCGGGGCCTGGCTGGCGGGAGGGGCAGGTGGCAGCCGGCGTCACATTTAACATTCTGCCTCCCCCACTTCTGAGACACAGAGCTATTTAAAGGCCCACTTGTCCCCACTGCCCGGGTGTCAGGGACAGCCGAGCCCTGGGCTCTGCACGGGGTCGGATTCCTGACAGATCTGGCGCACTTGACATCCAGTTTCACGGCGGGGATATTTTGGGCTTGCTCTTCTTATTTTCTAGCAGACTGAGCAGCTTCTTGCCAGCCTCCCCGTCCCTCGTCCCCACCCGAAGGGCGTCTGGCCCTGTCCCCCTCTGTTCTCCATCCCCTGCCACAGCCACAGAGGCTCTGCCCAGAGCCGTGAGATCTGCATTCTGCAGTCAGGACCAGGGTCTAAAACACCAAGCTCTGTGAGGCCCAGAGAAGGGGAGGTAGGGACTTGAGGCGGGAAACGCGTTTGAGATGCCTACTGTGTGCTAGGCACCGGTAAGGGCCACTAAGTCACACATGCTCCATTATGTGTTCAAGACACACAGCTGAGCCAGGTGTGTGGCAGTCTGTAGCTAGTCAGGAGGCTGAGGCAGGAGGATCGCTTGAGCCCAGGAACTGAAGGCCAGCTTGAGTGACAGGGAAACCCTTGTCTCACACACTCCTCAGGAGTCTCATGTGCAGACTGGGCTTTTCTGTCCCCAGAGTGGGCCTGCGGGTGAGCGTGGGGAGTTTGGAGGCCTCTCAGCCCAGACCGCCTTGGCCTGGAGGGAGGCTGCGAGGACAACTCGGTTTCCGTTGTTTGGTTCGTGTATTAGTTTTGAGGCAGGGTCTCACTGTGTGGTTCAGGCTGGCCTTGAACTCACCGAGTAGCCCAGGCTGGCCTCTAACCTGCCACCATCCTCCTGCCTCAGCCTCCCGCTGAGGTTACAGATGTGCACCACCACGCCCCTGGACTTGGTCTCCCGGGCCTGGGGCTGTGAGGGCACCGTGCTGGCCTCCACCTTCCCATTTTACAGAGGAGAAAGAGGAGCCCATGATGGGGCGTCCAGGCACAGGGCCTTCTCAGGGTCACAGCCTGGTTAAGGGCAGGTCTCTAGAGGAAGGCGCCCAGGGCGCAGTGGACAGGGGACCTGGAGGCCCCTCCTGTCCCCATGGCACTGAGTCCTGAGCTCCGGCCTCCTGTCACCTCCCCCAGCCTTTGTGGGTGACAAGGAGGCCTGGCTGCCGCCGGCGCAGCCTTCCCTCCTCCCTCCCACTCTGCTCCCCAAGTCCCTGTGCTCAGGCCGGACCCTCTCCCCGCTGGCCCTGCACACCATGGGCCCTGACGAACCCCCGTCAGTCCCACCTCTGGCCTAGGCCTGTGGCTCCACAACTGTCTGGGGCAGGGACAGCGGGGCCACCCTGAAAGGAGGAAGTGACCTGGCTTAGCAGGCTCAGTGGGCCAGGAAGGCACTGCGGACCCCTGAGGCCACCCCATCCAACCTGGGAACCCTGGGCAGCGAGGGTGGGCAGGGCAGAGGCCTTGGC